GTTCAAGTTGGATTAAGATGAGGACGTAGAATGAGGGATAGCACTGCTAATGTCACATGGATCTTGGCTGAAAGCAGAGAATACCAGAAAGATGTTTACTTGTATTGTATTGACTACTCAAAGGCATTTGACTGTGTGGATCATAACAAACTATAGATAACACTGCAAAGAATGGGCATTCCAGAACACGTCATTGTGCTCATGCGGAACCTGTACACAGACCAAGAGGCAGTCATTCAACTAGAACAAGGGGCTAGGGAGAGTTTTAAAATCAGGAAAGATGTGTATTAGGGTTGTATCCTGTCACCATACTTACTCAATCTGTATACTGACCAAATAATCCGAGAAGCTAGACACTATGAAGAAGAACATTGGAATCAGGATTGGAGGAAAGCTCATTAACAACCTGTGATATGCAGATAATACAACTTTGCTTGCTAGAAGCGAAGAGGATTTAAAGCAACTTATTGATGATGATCAAAGACCACAGCCTTCAGTATGGATTCCAACTCAGTGCAAAGAAAACAAAAATCTTCACCAATGGACCATTAAACAGCATCATGATAAATGGAGAAAAGACTGAAATTGTCAAGGATTTTATTATACTGGGATCCACAATCACCGCTCATAGAAGCGAGTCAAAGACCTGACTCAAGGTCTTTGCCTGATCTGTGCCATGTGTTAATCACCTCATGTGCAGGGGAAAATTGGACAAGGAATAAGGAAGGCTGGAGAATATTCGATAGATTTGAATTATGATGTAGGCCAAGAATACTGAAAGTACCATGGAGTACCAGAAAAACAAACAACTCTATCTTGGAAGAAGTACAGCCAGAATGCCCCTTAGAAGTGAAATATGTTGTCAGGAGGAACCATCATAGCGAAAAAGAAAACTTCCCACAAGATGTACTGACACAGTGGTAGCAACAATGGACGCAAATAGAACAACTGTAAGGCTAGTGCAGGACCAAGCAGTTTTCTGTTCTGTCGTACATGAGGTCGCCATGAGTCGGAACCAGCTTGACAGCAACTAAGCAGTAACAACAATGGTATAGTAGTTACATTCAGAGCGTTCTTAGCCTTTAGAGATACATAAGAAATTTCACAAATAAAAAGATACCTGATTCCCGTTGACCTGGAGATGAGAGACAGAAGAGGAAGGGCTGACTGGTCCGAAGTGTGGTGAGACTTGGGGACTCCTGAGCCCATGGACAAGGACATAGCCACGGAGGGCTAGAGCTGAGAGAGAAGCATTCAGCTGATATGAAGTGAGGGGAGATGCGCAACAACACCCAAAGTTGCATACAGTACCCACTGGACCTAGCCTCGATGGCTTGATGATTAGAACTCAACTGGGGTGGTAGTGGTATGCCGTGTAGTCAGTTCTGACTCATAGTAACCCTGCGTAGGGTTTCTGAGGCTGAAAATCTTTACAGGAGCAGAAAGTCTCATCTTCTCCCGTGGACCACCTGGTAGTTTCAAACTGCCGACATTGAGGTTACCAGCCCAACTCGTAACCAGAGCTCCTTAGAACTCAACTAAAGAAAGATTTAAAAGCAACTGTTTTTGATAAAGGAAACAAGTGTAAACTGCTACAATTTGATGAACTTCACCTATACTTACGGCTGTAGTAGCTCAAAATACCAATTGAGAGGGAAGGAGTCTTCATATCAAGTATCAATCCTGTCCCCTCTGTATACAGGGTAGATAGGGACCAGCAACTTAGACACTGGCTACCTAAAATGAGGAGGCAGTAAAGGCATGAAGCGACTGGCTTACAAGTTTTCAAGACGGAGTTTAGTTTAAAAGTGTGTAGGGGAAGGTAGCTCTGGTAGCGTAGTGGTTACGAATCGGGCTGCGAACCACAAGGTCAGCAGCTCGAAACTACCAGCTGCTCCGTGGGAGAAAGATGAGGCGTTCTGCTCCCGTAAAGATTAATAGCCTCAGAAACCCTGTGCAGGGTCGCTATGAGTCGGAACCGACTCCACGGCACATAGCAACAACAACAACAAGGGGAAGGTAGAGTCTCAACTTTATAGTTTTTATCTTGTTTAAACGGTTCTGGTGAAAAGAGATGGGGATAAGATTCTTATGATTCAATAGTGAGTAACTATTATCATGACTAATTGTGACTATCACAACTATAAAGGTAGAAGTTTTATAACATAAAGAGGGGAGTAGTTACTCTTACAGTCCAGGAAAAAGGACCCTAGAAAGAAGGGAGAAGAACACAAGTTCCGCTTGTGGGACCCTATCCAGAGAAGCAGTGATACCAGAGATGGAGGCAGAGATGGGGACATGGAGAGAGAGAGCAGTTGAGCACTCTAGATTCGTGGAAAGAGAAAGGCTGTGTGCTGGCAGCCAGGAGGTAGGCTTGCAGAATGTGCCCTTTGGTTGTTTAAATAACTGTATATTCCTGAATGTTTTTGTGTACCTTCCCCCCTCAAAAAAAAACCAGAGGGCATAGAAGCAAATACTATTGAATGATGATGCACACAGTAGATTGTAATCATTGCAATGATACTATGAGTGAAAAACTGATGTTCTCTCATGTAAACTAGCATTCAAACCACAAGAAAAACTTTTAAAAAAAGATGTCTGGGATTTGCTTCAGAATCGCCAGGACTGAGGAAAGCATGTGGAGGGCCACACCTGATGCTAGCCATGGTCAATAGCTGGGAAGCTGGTCGTGGGGACACAGGGTGGCTGGCAGGATGCCGTCTGCTTTCCTATGTGCTTTTCCTGTCTTCGGTTTTCTACGAGCGGAGAAGCAGTAGAGAGAGCTGTACCACCGAGACTGAGGGATGAGCATGTCACAGGCAGGAGGAAGACCGCTGTGAAGAGGCACTAAGAGCCCAAGCAAGAGAACCTTCTTCCCACACCAAGCCCATGTGTTTACATTCCCCTATCATCCAAGTCCATCCTACAAGCTGCTACTGAGAAAATGAGGTCACATATAGGAAACTCTGTAAAAGCCAGAACCTGAATAAGGCAGAAGCCTGTCAAAGAGGAAAAGCACAACTATTGTCATGAAAACAAATGATACAAAGCAGAAAGACTGCCCGTCAGAGGTGGAAAACTAGGAATATCTCACCAGACTCCAGCCCTCACTGATTTCACTTTGCTGGCAAGATGCTTTGGTATTCCACTCTTGGAAAATAAAAAATGAGCAGTTCATCAGAATAATAAAAATACATTCACTGTGTAGTCCCAGATACACGTCAACACCTGAAGTGATTACAACATAGCAGAAAACATCAGAGAGAGAAAACCGTTTCAGGTGTATTGTTTTGAAAGATAATGCCCAGACAGGCACAGAAATGCCAATGGGCAGGCAGGAACAGGGGCCATAAATACAGGGCTTCCTGAACTCACACTGCTCCCGCTGGGAGGGCCCACGAGCACAGTCCACACCCAGGTCCTGGTTTCTAATAAATACCACCCTCCAGTACAAAGGGCCCTGGAGTCCAGGGCAGGGAGAATCAAATCGTGGAGCATCCGTAGCGCTCCAAGGTCAAGAAGTGGCAGAAACGGGACTGCGATTGTTCAGTGACTCATAGTGACCCTGTATAGCGTTTCCAAGGGGCCGCTAGCTGACCATGCGGTCTAGTCAGTGCTGGCCAACTTGTACCAGCTCCCACAGCCGCCACAGGCAGAATAACTGGAGCAACCACATACATCCTAAAAGCTCAGCACCAGAGCCCACAGAATCCAAACAGACACAAATAAGTGGGTAGATGTATCATTAAGGGGGAGTCCTGGTGTGCTGCTGCAGGGTAATGTACTGGACTGCAAAGTCAGTTTGAACTGTAATGTTGGCAGCTCAAACCCACCAGCCGCTCTTTGGAAACCCACCCTATCAGGGTCACTACGGGTCAGAACCGACTCCATGGCACTTAACAACAACAACAAAACCATTAAGGGCAAAGGGACACTGCTCCCTTACAGAAAAATCACAATCAGTAAACTTACAAGGAATGAGAGAGCTAGAACAAGACAGCAATAGCTGCTGCAGGCAAAACCCAACAGCTCGTGCTGGAATCCTAGGCACAGCCCAGAGTCTAGTATCGTCCTCAGAGAGGAAGTAGTAACTTCCCAGAGGAGGAGCTAATGGGTGACAAAGGCCACCGTCTCCAGTGATCAGAATGTTGAGACGAGCACCTCACCTTGCTACCTGCTTGCCAAGAAGGCACTCCACCCACCCAGTCCTGAGACAAGAGAAAAACCAGCCAAGAGACATTCTATAGAACCACCAACCAGTTACTGTTACTAGGTGCTGCTGAGTCGGTTCCAGCTTATAGCATCCTACACACAGCAGAAGGAGACATTGCCCCGTCCTGCGGCAGCAGCCTCACCATTGTTTCAGGTTTGAACCCACTGGTGGTGCCACTGTACCAGTCCACCTCCAAGCAGTGCTGTCTAAAAAGTCAAGATCTGGAAGAACCAGGGGAGACCGAGGAGATATGACAACTCCAGTCCTGGGGGCCCTGGGCGGGATCCTGGCACACAGACACCCCGAATAAAGTCTGCCGCCAGCTAACAGTTGTGATGCCTTGGTCCTGACGCGGCACCATGATTACGTGAGATGTCAACTCGAGGGAGGCGGGGAGTCCACAGCAACACTCTGAACAATTTTTGCAATTTTTCCTTAAAGTCTAAAATTACTCCATAATAAAAAGTTGAAAACAGCATGAAGTTTTCCTTAAGGACAAAGGTTGACATGGTAGAGCATAAAGTAAATGGCATGAAGAAAGTGGAGGCAAGGACATGTGAGAAGTGGTCATGTATGGGTTCTACAGACCCTTCAAACTGTGTCCTAACTGGTTTTCTACCTGCCACCCCGCCCCTTCCTCTGACATAGACACTCCTTCCCTGGTACACTGGCTCTATTTCATGTTGTTTGCAAATACGCACAGTAGGTTTTTCTTAAATTACAATGCAATAAATTCTCAGGGATTCAGCATGTTCAAGTTTCAGACTTTAAGATGAGTCCAACTTACCAAGCCAATGCATTTTTTTAATATGCTCCACACACTGAAGTCACTTCTGGTGAACATGGGGGCAGGTAGCGATGTCCTGAAAAGGAGTGGCATGTGATTAACCCAGTAAGAGCTGCCATTATGACTGGTTTAGTGCAATGACCATTTCCCCTAAATATTCACGTTAATCAACACCAGCATTTCTAGATGCAGCGTGCTCAGGGGGAAAGAAGCCAGTGCGCTGTTTCAGTGTTCAATGGAGGGTGGGCACTGCTCTTCTGGACAGCGTCCTAGGAGATGACCACAAGGACAGCATCATTGGCTTCCTTCCACAGCACTCATGTGGACAGGAGTCAGGGGCAGGGGACAAGAGAGGGGCCAGCTCCACCACAGACTGCCTAGGAACAGTCTTCCTTCCCCCGGTGCCTCGTGTATCTGTGTCATCAGTAAAGGAAGCTGGCAGGATGAGGGGCTGCAAGGAAAGGCTCTGTAGGTACGGACTCAGGCAGGGCAGGGAAATCCCCATTCCTGAGGAGGAACAGGAACTACAGAGAGGGAGAGGGAGGGGGGAGGAGTGTGATAACGCTGCAGGGGGGCAGGGCTGGCCCCAGAGGGAAATACAGCAGGGGCGCAAGTCTCTGTCCTGAGAGGAAAGGGCTTCTAAATGACATGACAGAGTGGAAGAGGCGCCACTGACCATGACTCTAGAAGAGGACTCCACTGACCATCATACTGACCATCAGTCTAGAAGAGGGCTCCAGTGACCATCAGTCTAGAAGAGGGATCCACTGACCAAGACTCTAGAAGAGGGCTCCAGTGACCATCAGTCTAGAAGAGGACTCCACTGACCATCAGTCTAGAAGAGGGCTCCACTGGCCATCACTCTAGAAGAGGACTCCACTGACCAAGACTCTAGAAGACGGATCCACTGACCACCATTCTAGAAGAGGCCTCCACTGACCATCACTCTAGAAGAGGACTCCACTAATCATCACTCTAGAAGAGGACTCCACTGACCATCAGTCTAGAAGAGGGCTCCACTGACCATCAGTCTAGAATAGGGCTCCACTGGCCATCACTCTAGAAGAGGACTCCACTGACCATCACTCTAGAAGAAAGCTCCATTGACCATGACTCTTGAAGAGGCCTCCAGTGACCATCATTCTAGAAGACGGCTCCACTGACCATTACTTAGGTCTGGTGAAAACACCGGACCACATGGCTGTCTTGCCTAAGAGCTTCCAGCGAAGGGTGCCTAAGCCAAATCAGACCTGGCTCCTGAAAAAAACGGCCCTTTGTGCACCATGAAGACAAGGAGTGTGGCAATGAGGCGATCACACTGAAGGGACCCAAGATGTATTTAAATGGGAGAAATGTCAGCCCTTGGAGCAAGTGGGATATGCAGTGAGGGAGGGCAGTACCAGGTTTGAACTCAGGTTCACAGTGGCACCATGTATGTGGAAGGAGAAAACAAAGGCCCAGTCCCAGAAGGAGCCTGAGCTGTCTTGGCAGTGAGGATGGGAGTTCATAGGAGGAACACAAATATTTGTTAAACAAATAATGTGAACAAACACTCATAAAGGCACAAGTGAAATACCTCTACATTCCCAAGTGCAGAGAGAGCAAGAGGTGATTGGGTCTTTGGATCTGAAACTCAGAGGGACAGAGGTGTTACTTGAAGCTAAAACACCAAGCAGATGGTGCAGACAGAAACCATCAGCTCCCCAACCGACCCTGACGCCCTCTCCCACTACGTCCTCTCGCCTACACATGAAGCTAGACAAAGCCTTCCTGTCCCTGACAGAGGCCAGGCGAGTGCAGTTCAGCAAAGTCCCTAAGAGACATCAGGTTGACAGGATCTATTAGAGGGGAGAGCAGGGCGTGTATGACTAAGGGTCAAGCACAGGCACAGCCCTGGACACTCATCTCCTAATCCTCACAGCAGCCCCAGAACAGGCACAGAGAACACCGCCATCTTACACAGTGGGGAGAACCATTCAAAGGTCTTACGCACTGAAACGTGTAGTCCTCTGATTTCTAAATGCCAGGCACAGAGGCCTCCGAACAGTGTGGTCTGGCGGAGGAAGCCCAGGTGGCCTGGTTGGGGGTCCATCTAAGTAGACTTCTATGGGGGACCTATCTGCTGGACATTCTATGGGGATCCATTTGACCGGACGTTGTATGGGTGCTGAGGAGATGCCGCCAGACTCAGAGTGAACACAGACGCCTGTGGGTGTATGAGGAGATCACATACCTGTGTGTTTGAAGCCCATTCTCCTGGGGCGGTCTTGCCTCCGTTTTCCCGACGCTCTGACTTTTGCTGGTGTCCGAGCCAAGCCCTCCAGGAACTTTCTGACTGGCCTCTGAAAATTCCCCAGAGTGGTCAGAATCAAAGCCTGTACAAGACAAACAAGAGAGACTGTCTCCAGGGCTAGAAGGTGCCAGAGTCCACCTCCTAATGTCTGTCATTTGGCTATACAAGCAGCAAGCCTAAAGCCTGAGATACCTTTGAATGGACGCATTTCAGAAGAATCAAGTCAGCTTCCCAAAAAACAGGTTAGAGGGTGGTGAGGGCTGGCACACACTAGGAATTTCGGAGATTCCGACGGCATTCCATGCTGCTCTGGAGAGTGCCAGCACTTGGCGTTTCGGCCTCAGGGATTTTCACTCACATGGTATGGTCTACAGTTGACTTTTCTCCTGCCACTCACCTGTGACGGCATCAAAGAATTCCTCCTCAGTGTTCATCCTTCACCAGCCTGCTCCTTCTGCCAGCCTGCCGTGGGATCTCCTATGGGAGCATTGTGTCGAGGCTACATTTAGAGCACCAGGTGCGTCCTTCCAGGAACCTTCTCTTGGTAGAATTTTAACAGGCACTGGAGACCTAGGGGGAAATCATGTAACACATTCAGAACCAAGAGTTCAAACCCAGCACCATCGGGCCCATTCTGACTCACAGTGACCCTGGTACTCAGGGGTTCCCAGAGCAGGAAGCCTTACAGGAAGGAGCAAGCAGTCGCCTTTCTCCCGCAGAGTGGCTGGTGGATTTGAACTGCCAACCTTATGGTTAGCAGTCCAGTGCTTATCCTATAATGTCACCAAGGTTCCTGGTGACAGCATTCAGAAACTGTATGGTTTTGAAACATTTTAAATTCTCTATGCATGGTCCCTGAAATCAATCTGGATGACAACTAAGCAAAGAAATAAAATGAGCAAAGAAAGAAATAATGAGTTCAAAGTAACAGTGAGATGGTACACACAGAACAAACAAATCCACCAAGGCTACTAGATGAGTACATCCTCACTAGTGGAAGAATACTCTGTAAAAGCATTATCTGCCAGTGTAGAAGATCGAACTGATCATCTGGAGAAAGTCACAAGGGCCATTCTAGAGCATGTGGCGTTTTTCAGGGCAGAGTTCCTTAGCAAGGGTTCAAACACATCTCAGGAAGTTCCTTCTATTCAAAGTTCTAGCAAACCTCTATTAGAAGTCAGAAGGAGTGGTTATACATAAAGGGAAGCTGAGTTACAAGCAGAGACAATTCCTATCTGCAGGAAAACAACGGTTCTAGAGTCTGAAGACGGTGGTATGAGTGGATTCACTAAAGTCAGCCCACATCTTATCACCAGGTCTTCAGCAGAACTCACAAATGTTAACTCCCCAACCATGAAGAGCAATGACTTATAAATACATGAGACTGGATCAAAAAGTCAGCCTCATCCCAACAGGGGGAACTTCTGGCAAGATGGTGAACTCAGCAAATGCATTAGATGGACCCTCAACAATAAAGATAGAAGAGACCAAATGATCCAGACACTGGTTAAAATCCTGGGACTCTGAACTTCAGAGGAAAGAACAGAGAAGTGGCCTGAGTGCTTGCTGGGAGGAGACTGACCTGTGAAGGGCTGGTCAGATGCACTGCGACCACCTTGAACTTTTGTGAGCTGCTTTGGGGACAGAAGGTGGCCTGGTGGAGCACATTCAAACAGGTGACTGGAAAGGTGCGATGTCTTCTTTTTTCCCCCACACTCCCCTAATGACTAGAGGTGTGGCTCTCGTGCTCAGCCATCCCCAACACAGACCCACTCCCAGGAGTTTGGAGCCACATCAGCGTGAGGCGGGGCCAACTGGATTCAGGTGAGCTCGGCTCCAGACTTACAGATCCACAGAGCCACCAGCCCAGCATTAGTCTAACAGAGACCCCTATAACCAGTCACTCTGCCCCCAGCTGCCCTAGGTCCCAGCTGCACGCAGGGCCTCCAGGAACTGCTGACAGGAACTCCATCTGGGGCCAGGCACCCACCTCGAGAGCTCCGTGGCTGGCAGGGGCCCCCAGTTTTCTCTCTGGGGCCAACAGCCTACACTGGTTTTTTCCTTTCAATGTTTCATTGCTTGCCTGTTTCTTCTTTCTTCTTCTCTTTCCATTCCTTTGAATTTTATCCTTTCTGTCTTGCTTTTGTTTTTCCTTATTTTTTTCTGCTTTTTTCTTCTCCTCTTCTTATTTTTTCCCTTTTGATGTTTCTTTGGCAAACTCTGTCCATCTTCTCTCTCTCTGGTTTTCTAAGTTTCTGTTTATTTTCTTAACCTCTTCCTTTAACTTTCTTTCTTATTTTTCTCTTCTATAGCTCCATTTTTCTGTCCCTCTTTTCTCTTTTCAGTTGTTTTTTTTCTGGTTACTAGCTGTCTTTATTTCTTTTTGCTCTTTAATTGTTAGCTGTGTGTTTGTTTTTGTTTTGTTCTATTGTGTAAGTGTCTGTAGGAGGTTTTCTCCTCTTTCCCATCTAACAGTAGGCAGCTCCCGTGCCCATAGAGCCCAGCCACAATCGTACCCTCTGCAGTTTCACCCACTGGACAAGAGTCAGTACCAGCTCCTATACCACCTGATCAACGAAAGTCAGCAGTGAAACCCATCCTAAACTGAGGTACGCAGAGGGAAAACAATGCGCATGCTTCCCCCTCTGGCTCCACCCACAAAAGGTACAGTCACCAAAAGGTTTCACTATTTCTGGAAAGAAGTCGAGTCCTATATTTAATAGTCTGTGCCATCTCTAGAACATGGAGGGGTGAGGAGAGAAAGGGGGGAGTCCCGAGGGAAGGACGTGCCCTCTGTCCTGGGGGTAGCCATGGCCGGTGCTTAGTGACATCCTGAAGTGTTTGCACTCTGGGGCTCTGTCCACAAAAAAGAAGCTGCAATGGCAGCCATAAATACGCATTCTTCTAAGTGGCAGGAGGAGGCAGCGTGAGGTCATTTGTTCCTTCTCCTGGGAGAAGCAGTGTTTCCCTTCTCTCACACCCTCTGGACACCTGGAAACTCGGGCACAAAGAGCCTGTCTACAGGCTTGATGTCATCATTACTAACTTCTAACCCCCCTCTAACTCGACCCGTCAGCCACAACACCCATCAACTTGCTTTGCCCTTTCAAAGGCATGGAAGGGAGAAGGCAGGACTGGGACCATCCCATCCCTCCCACGCAGCAAGAGAGCCACCCTTCAAGACCATGGGGTCATACCAGTAGTGTCTCTGGAGGTAGGAGAGGAGTGAGGTGCAGACTGCACCGAGTGCTACTGTCAATGGGGTGACACCAATGACTATCTATAAAATTTCTGTGCAGTGTTTCAGCAAAAACGTATTCTCTTTTATTAAGAAGTCCCTGTATTTTGTTATAACACAGCATTTTTCGTAAGCCCAGGTTACAGGCATCCACATCCCTGCAAGATGAAAGCTAGAGCTGGTTTCCTTTCAGAACCTTTAATGTGCTCTACTCAAAGCTGTCATTACTGCCCAATTACAGACATGCTTCAATCACATGGTTTCATCTGTATGAGCGACAAACACGCATTGTATTTTCGTAGCTGCCGGTGGTTTAGCGACAACAGTGTAGTCATCAATACCAAGGAGTTTCAAAAAGTTAGTGGAAAAATGGAATTGGAAGATAATGGAATTTTCCACAAGCTTCTTAAAATCTCTTCATATTTCTGAACACATGTATCAACCACTTTACGGAATACTGGTAGCATTGTGGGTTATGAGTTGGGCTGCTAACCACAAAGTCAGCTTCGAATCCACCAGCAGCTCGGCTCGAGAAAGATGAGGCTTTCTGCTCCTGTAAAGATTTACAGTGTTTCTCTGCTATTCATGGTTAATATTCAACCGTTTCAAGAGGTAGCATATGATCAAGAGCCAATGATACTGAAGTAAGAAGTCCAAGGTGCATTGAAGGAATTGGCAAAGAACAAGGCACCAGGAATTGATGGAATACGAATCGAAATCTTTCAAGAAAGTGAGGCGGCACAAGAGGCACTCACTCATCTCTGCCAAGAAATTTAGAAGACACCTATCTGGCCAACTGATTGGAAGAGATCCATATTTGTACCCATTCCAAAGGGAGGTGACCCAACGGAATGTGGAAATCATCGGACAATCTCTTTGTTATCCCATGAGAGTAAAGTTTTTCTAAAGGTAATACAGAAACAGCTACAATCATACATTGACAGAGAACTTCCAGAGGTTCAAGCCTGATTCAGAAGAGGCTGTGAAACGAGGGATATCATTGCTTATGTCCGATGGATCTTGGCTGAAAGCAGAGAATATCAGAAAGATGTTTACCTGTGCTTTATTGACTACGCAAAGGCTTTCGACTGTGTGGATCGTGACAAGCTATGGACAACATTGCGAAGTATGAGGATTCCGGAACACTTAGTTGTGCTCATGAGGAATCTGTACCTGGACCAAGAAGCAGTTGTTCAAACAGAACATGGGAACATTGAATGTTTTAAAATTAAAAAAGGTGTGCGACGTTGTATTCTTTCACCATACTTATTCAACCTATATGCTGAGCAAATAATCCGAGATGCCAGGTTATATGAAGAAAAACATGGCATCAGGATTGAAGGAAGACTAATTAACAACCTGCGATATGCAGATGATACAACCTTGATTGCTGAAAGTGAAGAGGACTTGAAACATTTACTTATGAAGATTAAAGAGCACAGCCTTCGATATGGATTACATCTCAATGTAAAGAAAACAAAAATCCTCACCACTGGACCGATAAACAACATTCTTATGAATGGAGAAAAGATTGAAGTTGTCAATAAGTTCATTCTTCTTGGATCAACTATCAACACTCATGGAAGCAGCAGTCAAGAAATCAAACGACATAGTGCTTTAGGCAAATCTGCTGCACAGGAACTTTTTAAAGTGCTGAAGGGCAAAATTGTGAGCTTGAGGACTAAGGTGTGCCTGACCCAAGCCATGGTATTTCCAATAACCTCATATGCATGTGAAAGCTGGACAGTGAATAAGGAAGACTGTAAAAGAATTGATACATTTGAGTTATGATGTTGGAGGAGAATACTGAAAGTACCATGGACTGCCAAAAGAACCAACAGATCTGTGTTGGAAGAAATGCAGCCAGAGTGCTCCTTGGAAGCCAGAATGGCCAAACTTCATCTCAAACTTTGGACATATTGTCAGGAGGGACCAGTCGCTGGAAAAGGATATCATGTTTGGTAAGGTGGAGTATCAGAGAAAAAGAGGAAGACCCCCAGCAAGATGGACTGGCCAAGTGGCAGCATCGATGGACTCAAGCGTGGCAACTATAGTGAGGTTGGCCCAGGATCGGGCAGTGTTTCGTTCTGCTGTGCATAAGGTCGCTATGGGTTAGTACCGATTCGAAGGCACCTAACAACAACAACAACAACAACAACAACAACAACAAAGATTTACAGCCTTGGAAACCCTGTG